TATCAGCATTTGGAAACAAGGTTAAGTATACTTAGAAGTTTAAGATGTGAAATTGGGAAATGTGCTAAAGGAAATTTTATCATGATGCCTTTGTATCTTAAAAGATTTAGATGAACAGTTAGCTCTTAGTACTTTTTTTCACAACATAATTCCCTTGGGCATTGGTCCTTCTTTCCTTGTTGGGTGGTTGCTTAGCACGATTTAAGTTTCCACCATTAATGTCCCTCTGGAAATACATAGCTGTAAATTTTTGAGGAGTGAACTATTATTAAGTTTGGTTTTTTGTTTTTTTTTTTAAAGATTGGTGTTCTTTAAGAAAGATTATTTTTGTGCTTTCATACCATTAAAGATAAGAAAGAGTAAAGGGGATATGAATATAACAGTAATATTTTTGTCCTAAAGAAGGGAATGTCTGATTTTATTTAGAAACATTTTTCTTTTATAGGTAGGCTACTATTTTAAATTTTATCTTTTTCAATTATTATAAAAACTAAAACCTACATAGAATTTGCTTGGAGATGCAATGAAACATTTTGTAGAGGCTGGGTGATTTTGGTTATAGAGAGGCTGTTTGGTATAAAATCATGACAAGGACATTAAACAAGCTAATGTTATTCTGGGCAAAGTATAATGTTACTGTAAACATTTATCTGGTCTATTGCTTTAGAATGTTAATAATTTATACTTTCAGAGTGCACCTTAATTATTTTTGCTTCTTTTGAGATCATTGTTATCAACCCAAATGACTCCTGGACATGACAACTTTCTGTAAAGGATTTTATGATGTACATCCTTGGAGTTTTCACTTTAATGGAATGAAGAGTTCGTAACTATGGGCGATTTTTAGTTTGTTCTTTTTATGGTACATTATTTTGCTCTTTTGGAACATAGAATAAAAGATAGTTCTTGAAAGTTACTCCTAAACACAAAGTACTTCCTGAGAATGTTGCAATGAAGTGACTCAGTAATATTACGGGAATTGTGTGCTAGTGTTACTGTTTCTTTATGAAACACTTTATACTTTGGAGATAATATTGTTGCCCTATAACTTTTATTATCTAAGAACTGAAAATCTTTTTTTCTTCTCAGTGTCTCCAGGATTATTTACTACACACGGAGTTTTGCTTTGAAGTTTGGTTTTGTTTTGTTTTTTTGTTTTGTTTTGTTTTTTTCTTTCTCACCATAGCCTCCTGGTTTTGAAATTTGAGCAAAATGCTCCTCAGAGCTACTTTATTTGAAAAAAAGAAAAAAAAAAGTTAATTAAAAACTTTCTATTCTTTGGATGTATTTTCACCTCTTTTATCAAAATGAAATGTGTTGGGTCATAATGAATTCTTTAGAACTGGCTTGTCTAACATAACCAATTAGCGATATTGGCTATTTTCACTTTAAATAATGAAAATTAAATACATTTAATTTATTTAATTAGTTACACTCAGTTACACTAGCCACATTTCAAGGACTCAAGGGCTACATGTGTCTAGTAGCTTCCATATTAGACAGTACAGATACAGAACATTTCCACCATCACAGACACTTCTGTTGGATACATGGCTTTAGAATGGGGGATGGTAAACCATAGCCTGAGATCCCAGTGTGATCCACCACTTGTTCTGTAAATAAAGTTTTATTGGAATAACTTGTTTACATATGATCTATGGCTGCTTTCAGGTTCTAACAGCAGAACTGAGTAGTTGGAACACACCATATGTCTCATTTTCTTTTATCCCTTTATAGGAGAAGATTGTGGCCTCCATTAGCATATTCATATTCCTATATGAGGTTATTTGAATAGCCTAGTTATATGCATATATTAGCAGTATAACATATGAAATAAGGCAGATTATCATAGTTCAGCAATTATCCAGACCAGAACAGTCATCCCCTTATAGGAACAACAAGAAAATCAGTCTTTCTCTGGTAGATCAGGTTCTTTCCAAAATGAAGGGAATTAAAGAAGAAAAATATCAGGCAGGACAGCACACAACCTGTCAATCCACTCAAGGTGTGCTGGGCAACTGGCAGAATTAGTACACAGTTGCCAAGAGGCCAATCCATCTGAGCTGCTGGCCCATAGTCACACTTGGGCCCAGAGTCAGTTTGGAGTAAGGGGTAGAATCTACAAAGGACCCAGGACAGAATAGTAACAGAGGGAGGTGGGTGAAATTTTATTTCTTACGTGTTAAACCGAAAAATGTTTCAGTTGGGTCTTTCAGTTCAGGAGTTTATTCAAAAGATGTTTATTTCATTAATAGTGTACTTAGTTTTGAAATTTTGGTTGATTGAATCTTTTTAATATTTTATTGTCGTTTCTCTTGTGGAATTTCCAAGAAAGGGAGTCTCTTAGATAATGTGAAATGTTTAAATCCAGTTGTGTTTTTCCATTGTTGGGGGGGGGGGCGGAGAATGAGCTTATTTTTATTTTATCTGTATGTTTGGCTTAAGGATTTTTGAATGCATTATAGACTGTACCCCAGGTAAGTTTTGTCTCTGAGGATTCTGTTAAACTCTGATTTAAAATATGTATCTATACATACCTATGTGTATGTATTTTTAGTTAGTTGTTTTCATGCAACCTAATCAAAACAAGCATTTGACATTGGCCTAATGCAGCCATCTTTGTTATTCTTCGCTACTTTCCCAGATTGAAACTAGCACAGTTTCTTATTCAAAGTGCCCTTGCTTCCCTCTCCCACCCGGGCTTCAGTGAGTGCCTTATAAAGCTGACCCTCGCTGGAGCAGATTATAATGTAGCACGGATGGCTAAATTTAGAGACAAGCCAAGCCTCTGCTCTAAATAGTAACAGTTAAGCGGTAGAGACTTTTGGTGAACAGAATATCTTCATTTAGTCTTTCAATACCAGTCGGTGAGTTGCTGTTTGTATTTGTGTTAATTTTTGCTGCTGTGTACGTCGGAATCTTTGTATGTTTTTTGTTGACATGTTACTCTGCTGTTTTCCACCTCCCGTATATGGAGGGTGTGCAAAATTAGATCACAAGATGAGACCATGAAGAAACAAACTTTTGTGCTTAGAACTGAAGAAATTATAAACGGAACTAGAGATTTTTTAAAATAGAGTAATTCTCTTGTCCTCGGCAGTAGGCTGTGTTTTGTGGTAATTACTCATTAGCAGAAAAACAGCAACAAAATGCTAAGGTAGAGTTAGAGAATTCTGTGAGTTTCTATTCTGGACTGTAAAATAAAACTTTTAGAGAAGGCTTCCACTTTTAAAATATTCTTTATTGATTCCAAAATAGAGACATCTTTAGCAAAGAGTAACCGCAGCATGGTCACCTGCTAGAAAAGTTTCAGGCTACTTGGAGTCTGTTTTTATTTTTATACCTCAGTATGAGACCTAAACTCTTTAGCAGGTATTTTTTTCTTTGCTGGCACAGGAAAATATTTTATGTAATATTTGTAGTGTTTGGGGAGGTGTAGAAACAAGAAACACACATGCATATTCATTGTGAGTACCCCCAGTGAAATGTTTGCTAGTCCAGAGTGATCTGTTGAAAATGCTAACAAGGAAATTTCTGAATGAAATAGTAGAGAGTGTAAATAATGCATTAGAAGCTCTATTTCCAACTTCCATCAAATAAAATGAGATTTCATTAAGTTTATTGCATTTGTAACTATTTCAGTGTGTAACTGCTTCCCCACACACATGGAGTGATCACTTTCTCTACCCTTTGTTCTAGATCTGTACTGCTATTGTATGGTAAATGTTTGCCTGTTTTATCTCCTCTAGGCCCTGTGCTCCCTGAGGGCATGGAATCTGGCTTAGTCACCTTTATAGCTTAAAGCCTGATATATTAAGTTCACTTTATAGTATTAATAAAAATTCTCTCTACTTAAAGCATAACAGAAAATCCTTTTTGTGTTTGTTACTTTTCTTTTTAATCCATTCCACTTTTTAAATTATGATTAAAGTTTTAAGTGGTAAACAGATTACTTTCCATATGAAAATAGATTTTCTTCTTTTGTGGTATGGAAAGTTTTGGTATATAAATAGAATCATTTTTACATGTTCTTAAGGATCTTTTAAAACTTTGAGACATAATTAAATCGTTTACTTGAATAGAGCACATTTTCTTGATTGTTTAGTGGTGACTTAATTAAAAAAATCTAGATATTCTCAAAGCACAATTTAAAAAGAACTTTGAAAGGTAATTAAATAATTTGCTTGACATTTTCTTAATTGTGTTGTCTTCATAATTTTGGCAATCTGGACATATTTTCATATTATAATATTAATGCCACAAAATTATTCTTAATATGTAAGAGGTCTTACGGAGCAAGTTCTTTTTACTTTTTTTGAAGATAATGTAATCTTAAATTTTCTTTGCAGAGAAAAGCAAGTATTATGTATATTCCCTTTTTAACCAGAAAATTACACTTCACACTTTTTTTTGAAAAGATTTATTTATTTATTTGATAGAGAGAGAGATGACAAATAGGGAGAGAGGCAGGCAGAAAGAGATTGGGGAGGGGGCTTGTAGGCAGGCTCCCTGCTGAGCAGAGCCAGGGCTCGGTCCAGGACTGTGAGACCATGACCCTAACTGAAGGCAGACTCGTAACCCACTGAGCCACCCAGGTGCTCCACGACTAAATCCTTTTATACACATGCATATACACGCATGCAGACAGGCACAATTATGCATATTTGTGTGGGTAAAACGGCAAAGTGAATTTCTAGTAAAAGAATTGTGGACCACAGGTTATGTACATGTAAATATCTATATTCACCAAATGCTTCCCCAGAGTGCCGCATGGAATTTATTCCCTATGCCCAAGTTTATGCCTGTGGTCGTTTTCCCTATGTCTCTTGCCAACAATAGATAGTATTAGATTTCAGAAGTTTTGTAGTTCAACAGTTAAATTAAACCTGCTTTTAAAAGTATATTCAGTACAAGTGAGGTAGAACATATGCTTATTAGTCATATATTTTTATGTGAACTGCTTATTTGAAATATGTAATATTTATTTTCTTTGTTTTCAGAAATTTTATGAATAAGCATCAGAAGCCAGTGCTAACAGGCCAGCGGTTCAAAACTCGGAAAAGGGGTAAGGTTGTGCTGCATGTCTGCGTGTATATGGGGGTTGAGAAAGTGGGTAAAGTTCTAACAAGTTGGGAGATTGCAGAGGGATTAGAATTGTCCCTGTTTCCACTGAACCTCCCTTGTTCGCTTCTTTTGAGCTCTAGATGTAGGATCTGAAGTTTTGCATTTAAGCCTTTGAATGGCAGGTTATTTACATGTTTGATTTTGGACAGGTCGTTTATTAATTTGTCTGAACTTTGTGTCGTTATCTACTAAAGGAGAATGATTCTATCTGGTCAGGTTTCCTCACTCTCCTGTGAGGCTATGAAGACAATAAACTCTACTGTTCTTGACATCAACATTTGTATTTGAGTTTTACTTCCTTTGTTGTTTTTAAGGAAATGTTGAGAACAAAGATGGTAAAACTTAGGAGAAAAGTAAATCAGGGAAGGAGATATTGATGAGTTTTTACACTTGAAAATTTAAGAAGTCAAATTAAATTAAATTTGCTGCCTAAATATCTTTAAAGCTCAGGATATTTTCAAATGTCTTTTATTGTGGAAAGGTAGTAACAGACCCTGTTTGGTGACTGTTAAATTTTTGTTAGTGTGAGTGACTTTTTTTTAACAATTTTATTTCTTTTTTTTTTTTAAAGATTTTATTTATTTATTTGACAGAGAGGTCACAAGTAGGCAGAGAGGCAGGCAGAGAGAGAGGAGGAAGCAGGCTCCCCGCTGATCAGAGAGCCCGATGTGGGGCTCGATCCCAGGACCCTGGGATCATGAACTGAGCCGAAGGCAGAGGCTTTAACCCACTGAGCGACCCAGGTGCCCCGAGTGACTTCTTTTTATGCTGTGTTCACCTTACCATCCTTCCTGTGTAAAGAATAGTTGTAAATTTTTCATCAGTTTTGTGTAATTATATAGAAGTCCTTTTGGAGTTAAAAAATAATTGAGCTATAACTTGATAAGGATACTTTTTTTAAAAGGAAACATGATATGAAATTATTATGTTGACTAACACTGAGGACAATAACTGAAACATATTTAAGGAAGTATCATGTAGAAAGATGAATGACGGTTGGATATCTCTGTGCAGGCCTCACTGCTGTGGTAAAGCTTGATGGCAGATAATGATCACCAAGTGCCAAATTGTTGAATTGATAGCTCATAGCCCATAGTATATGGCTTTGGCATTTCCAATTTTGGGATAGCCCCTGCAGCTTATGCTCTCTTGCATAAGTACTTAACTGCATAAGTAGCAAGTCCAGCCTTGCAGGAGAGGAAATCCAAATGCAATCAGTCGTTTAGAGTAGAAGAGTTCATGAGAGTCACTAGATAGCAGTGGAGGCTGAATTTTTTTTGGACAGTTTTTTTTTTTTTTTAAATTTAATTTCTTTTCAGTGTAACAGAATTCATTGTTGATGCACCACACCCAGTGCTCCATGCAATCCGTGCCCTCCATAATACCCACTACCAGGCTCCCCCAACCTCCCACCCCTGCCCCTTCAAAACCCTCAGATTGTTTTTCAGAGTTCATAGTCTCTCATGGTTCACCTCCCCTTCCAGTTTCCCTCAACTCCCTTCTCCTCTCCATCTCCCCATGTCCTCCATGTTATTTGTTATGCTCCACAAATAAGTGAAATCATATGATAATTGACTCTCTCTGCTTGACTTATTTCACTCAGCATAATCTCTTCCAGTCCCGTCCATGTTGCTACAAAAGCTGGGTATTCATCCTTTCTGATGGAAACATAATACTCCATAGTATATATGGACCACATCTTCCTTATCCATTCGTCTGTTGAAGGTCATCTTGGTTCTTTCCACAGTTCAGTGACCGTGGCCATTGCTGCTATAAACATTGGGGTACAGATGGCCCTTCTTTTCACTACATCTGTATCTTTGGGGTAAATACCCAGTAGTGCAATTGCAGGGTCATAGGGAAGCTCTATTTTTAATTTCTTAAGGAATTTCCACACTGTTTGGAGGCTGATTTTAACTATAAATGCTGCTTGCTGGGAATTCACGTTCCTACTAAAAATGAAAACAAAAAACTGTAAAGTAAGCAAAAGGTGGTTATTTTGTGCAGTATTTTTGTCTTGTGCTTTCCCCTTTTCTATTTTTTTTTTTCATCCCTGGCTCATCCCTATAAACTAAGGCCTGTGGCCTGAGCCATATCTCCCTCTGCTTGCTTGGTCCTCATCTTGGCCTTTATCTTGGGCTTAGAAACTGTGTCCCCACTATATTTCCTCATTGAATTCCAGACATTATCAATACGAGACCTTACAGTCAATTCATTACTTTCATTATCTCATGGTTTAAAAGCAATGGGGAAGAAATGATGTCGAGATGATTTTAAAAGGACTTTGTCTATAAGGAACAGTATAGTTCAGAACACTAATTATAGTTAAGGTATTGTGGAGCCTGGTAATGTGATAATATCTAACATATGCCCAACTGAGGTGCAGAAAGGTTCACTTTCCCCTGCCCACTGGGGGAACGTGTTAATCTCAGAGCTGGATCTCCAGCTTGAGCAGCTTTATTCCTGTGACGCTGATTCACCTTAACTGAGCTTAAAAGCCAAGAGAGGACCCAAGGATTGCACAATAGCCGACTTGACGCAACAAGTAAACTGGCCCTTAGAGAGTCAGTCTTCAGTTTTGAACTGGAAAGGTTTTCTCTAATTCTGAGCTGGTTTGTCTCTGATTCATTCAGTGGGCAAGATTGTGCCTGCGTCTTCCTGCTGCTGTAATACTCAGAGAGAGCTACCCAGAAATACGTATTATTTGTCAGTTGATCGGGATTTATATAACTTAGGGCTGCTGGGGATTTCAGCAGCACTTGAGCTATTTTGTGCCAAAATGCTGGCTGGGGCAAAAAAAAAAAAAAAAAAAAAAAAATGGAGTCAACCTCATTTTCTACACTTTATGCTAGTGAATTGCCTCCTGATGATTTATCATCTTTGTTTTTCTTTTGCGATTATGATAGGGCTGACTCCAGATAAATGGTTGGCAGTTTTATAGAGCTGAGGCAAAAAATCTAGTGAGGCTATTTCAAGGTCATTTTCATAGGCTGTCTTCTGGGGATCTGTCTTCAGTTTGAAACTGTTTGCTAGCAAAGCTAATACTCTTCCATGTCAAGTTAGTAAAAAAGAATGTATTTTCTATTGCTTAACATCAAAATTAAACATCATAATAGGACACATCATTTAGAAATCTATTCAGACTCTTTTCCTTTATGAAATATACACATCTTATTTATGGTATTTTCTTCAAAGAATTGTGTTTTCTAGCGTGGCTTGTGGGAATTTGAAACAGTGGAAATTTCTCCCCTTAGATACTGTTATGCTTAGCTAAATGAAATATTTAATAACTGATCTCGCCTCCCTATAAATCTTGTAGAGAAATTGGATTAAACTTAGTGAAAATAGGAGAGAAAAAAATGACCAACTACAGGCATCCAGGGTGCCCACAAGCCCTGGGTTCCCCCTGAGAATTTTCATCTGTCTTAACAGTTTTAATCACTCTGAGATTTATAGTAAGTGTTAGCCACTAATCTAGTGAACCTTCAAATGTTGAAATATGTGTGATATATATATATATATATATATATATATATGATGTGTGTATATATATAAATATAAATATATATATGTGAATATATTTGTATGTGTATGGTTAGAAAGCCCATGATTGTTCTTATTCATTTCCTATACTTAAGTAACATTCAAAAAAGGATGTAGGTTTTGTTATTTTTCACTTAATCAACAGTAGGAAAAAGGTTACACTAACTAGTTACTGTGGTTCCCAGAGGAAGCAATGTGTTCAGATAACTTACAGGCATATATGAGCATCAGAAATAAGCCTGTTTCTCTGTCAGTATAATGGGCCAGCCTGACTAACTCTCTAGTGTCACACTTGTGAGTCACCAACACAGTATACATTTGAGACCCTGATTATACACTTCCCACTTCAAGGGAGGTTATACCTGCTAAATGGAAACACAAGGAAGTAATAGCGTATTTTCTTTAGGATTTTATTGGTATTTTTGCTAGACTGTCCTCAAGTGGAATACAAAGGATATGTAATTTCGTTTCAGATAAAAAAGAACTTTGGGGTAAAATATTGTCTGTGTTTCCCCAAACTTTTGTCAGTGTTCTTGCCATTTTCTTATTTGGGAATTTTGTATTCCTCTGGATGGGTATTTCATCTTAACAGATGGGAGCTTCTTTTCAGCCTGCAGAAGAATGATTAATCCTAGCATGCCATCACGACTTCTTAAGATGCCAGAGCTACAGGCGATCATCCTGACCTAATGCATTATCGCTCACTGCCAGAATATCTTCGGCCTTGACATGCTGTCTTCCTCACCTTACTTTCCTCTTCCTTGGCACGTTTCTTGGGAAAATAGAACTGAAATGAAGGGCTTTATACAAACACGAGTTTTTAAATTGTCTCTCTGATTCAAACCAAAGTCTTCTGTGTGAATTCTTAGCATGGTCTAGATTTTTTACCTATTTACTAACTTTCATTTTCCAATGCCTCAAATTTATAATTTTTGAATCACCTAAGTCTGTCCTAACCACCCGAGTCAACATTCAAGTAGGTCATAGTGCCATCACGGGCATGGCCCCAGTTGGTTTTGAAAGCTGGTTACGCGACAATAAACAACTTGTGGTGTTTTCATTTCTCATGTTCTCATATAACAGGAAAGAAAACTTTTTTTGCCAAGGGGTTAGGAGAATTACCTTTTGGCTGGAACCCGAGTGTAAGGTGAAATGTCCTTTGCTTGTGACTTCCTCCCGCGCAGTCACAGCTGCCCCCTCCTCCAGCTTCTTGTCATCTGTTCCTCTGGAGTTCCCCATTCTCTTCCTCCCCCTCCACAAAACAAGACCTTAATTATATTTTTCCTGCGGTCAACATTGGCATGTTCTTGGCTGCATAATGTTTTGCTTATGGCATCAAAAGAACTTTTATCTCTTGTTCGTGAAAAATAGTGTTCAAGTTACATCTGTCTTGATGGCATCTTACGCTGTGTGACTCTGACTGGTACTGGGAATGCCATTCTTCTCTGCTTCTGATGCTGTGGGGTTAACCCCTTATAACTCAGCCCTCTTACTGGACCAGTATAAGTAGTCAGTCTGTACAAACCAGACAGGTACTATCTGGTTTTCAAGTAGTTTTTAAATGTATGCAGGTCACATGGTTTAAATAGTCAAACATCCTGCAAAACATGTTCTAGCAACAGCAGATAGACTCCCCAGAGGAATGCCTTCTGCTCTTCATAGGCTTCTTTTAATTGTACGTTCGCCCAACCACAGAACATTCTTACATGGTTGTTTCCTGACTTTTCTGGGGGAGGCATCATATCTGCACTTGATACTAAGGAAGATGAGGATTTCGCTCTCTTCACTGCCCTACCCACCTGCAGACGTCCTCTCGATTCTTCTAGCTAGACCACTGCGTAGGGTTTCTCTTGCTGTGACTTTGCGCATGCCCTTCACAGTTCAGCTGTTGCTGGATTACTCTTCTTCTCCTGAACATCATTTGATCTTTGGAGTTAATGTTTCATAATTTAAATTCCCTAATTTACCCCTTTTTGTTGCTGTTGTTGTCTGTGCCTTAACACGACTCAGTACCAACCTTTCCCTTCATTATGTAACTCTTTTTTAATACAAAAACTTGAGGATTTCTTATCATATATCAGATGATGCTATCATAGTGACAAGCCCTCTAGGCCAGCGGTACAGCTGACAATGTGAGATGTTTACAGTATCTTTTCTCCACTGTTCCAGAGAGTCCTGTTGTCCATCTCCTATTTTTTTTCTCTTTTTCCTGGGATCTCATGACTTGATAAGACCATGAGATCATGAGTTATTCTCTCATTTTGGTGGAGCATCGGCTTCAGGAGCTTTTTAGAAAAGAGAGTGTGAGAAACATTTTTGAGGCCTCATAAGTCTCAAAATACGTTTATTCAGCTTTTACGCTTAGTTGACAGTTTGAACCCCAGACTTAGAGTTTGGAAACCATTTTCCATCAGAATTTTTAAGAAATTTCTTCTGGTTTTTGGTATTCCTGTTGAGCAATTTAATGTCATTCTGGGGTGCCTGGGTGGCACGGTCAGTTAAGCGGCTGCCTTGGGCTCAGGTCATGGTCCCAGGGTCCTGGGATCGAATCCTGCATCAGACTCCTTGCTCAGCGGGGAGTCTGCTTCCCCCACTCTCCCTCTGACTGCCACTCCCCCCTGCTGGTGAGCTCTCTCTTTCTCTGTGTCAAAAAATAAATAAATAAAAATCTTTAATGTCATTCTGTTTTTTGATAGTTTATATGTGATTTGGGTTTTTGCCCCTGAAACTGCCAATAGCTGCTTTGTTCCCAGCATTGGGATTACACGAGAACGTCAGCATCTTATCGTCTTACTGTGGGCCCACTTTGAACCCTTATTTGCAGATGGCTCTTTACTGAGAAACTCATGTCCTTCAACTCTGTAAAATTTTTCTTGAAATTTTTAAATCATTTTTTTCCTTTAAAAAAAAATTATCAGGGCACCTGGCTGGCTCAGTCTGTGAAATATGTGACTCTTGATCTCAGGTTATGAGTTTGAGCCCTGCTTTGGGTATAGAGATTATTTTTTTAAAAAATAAAATATTAAAAAAATTCTCATTAAAATTAGTATTTGGACATTTGACTGGTGTGCCCTTTTTTTTTAATTTTTTTTACTCCTATGTTTTGTGTCTCTTTTTCTTGAATTTTTTTCTAGTTTCTGAGAGATAGTCTCAGCTTTCTTTTTCAACTCTTCTATTGAGTTTTTGACTTTTTCTATCATAGTTTTCATTTCCAAGAACTCTTTTTGTTCATGAAATCTTTCTTCTTTTTTTAACATTTTATTCTTCCTTTCTTCCTCCTCCTCCTTTCTTACAGTTGCAGTGTCCGCTTATCTCTCTAAAGGTATTTATGATGGGATTTTTGTGAAGTTTCTCATTCATCCTCCCCCACCCCCCACCCCTTTCCACATCCAAACTTATTCTCGGAAAGAAGAGAGGAAGGTGAACTCCTTTTGAATTGAACCCTACATTTACCTTTAATTTAGTCATATTCTTTTTCTGCCTCTTCTGACCTCTGGTTTGTCATCTTCACTTCTTTTCAACAGTATATGATCCTTGCTTTGTTTAGGATCTGGTTCCAGTGGCCCCCAGCTGGTTCAGTTGATAAAATATGGGACTCTTGATCTCGGGGTCATGAGCTCAGGCCCCACACTGGGCATAGAGATTACTTAAAAAAAAAATAAAAAAGAAAATAAAAAAAAATAAGATCTGACTCCCAACTGACCTTCCACAAGAAGTCTCTCTTGAGTCTGCTAAAGGTAGGAAACTCCATATATCCATATCCCTACATCCTTTGAAGTCTTTTCAGGGGTTCTACAAATTCAAAACTATTTTCATTATAACTAAGATTTGTTTTGCCTCTTTTACGTGTTCACTCATGGTTTATGGTCGTTTCCTAGAGGCTACATGATGTGTGATAGCACAACAGATTGCAAACAGTGGATATGGGAATCCATCTGTCTGCTATTAAGCCAGGCATTAAAGAGATTAAACAAAGCCTGTCTTCACACTAATTTTTTTTTAATTTGATAAATATTTTTAAATTTTGTTTTAATTTCTATAAAGTAAGTATCCATAGTTATAACCTTCTTACACAAGAAAGCTCTGGAATCCTCAGTACTTTTCAAGGGTGGCAAGGGGTCATGAGACCAAAAAGATTGGGAACATCTGCTCTGAAGCCATAAGTATACATATATAGTTCATGATATATATTAAATACTTAAGTGCCCTGGAATAACTTATCTTGTAAAATGAAATAAGTGTCGATACACATGTGGAGAAAAGGAAATCTTCATGAAATATTGGTGGGAATGTAGAGTGGCATAGCCACTATGAAAAACAGGATGAAATTTCCTCAGAAATGTAAAGGGGCACCTGGGTGACTGAATTAAGTGGCTGACTCTTGATTTCAGCTCAGGTCCTCATCTCAGGGTCCTGGGATCCAGCCCCAGTTGGACTCCATACTCAGCAGGGAGTCAGCTAGAGGATTTTCCCTTTCTCTGTTTTCCCATGCGCCCCACCCCTGCCACACACGCTCTCTCTCAAATAAATAAATAAATCTTTTTTAAATTTTTAAAATAAACTTCCATGTGATTCAGTGATTCTACTACTGGGTATTTATCTTAAGAAAATGAAAATAGGGGCACCTGGGTGGCTCAGTAGGTTAAAGCCTCTGCTGTCGGCTCAGGTCATGATCCCAGGGTCCTGTGATCCAGCCCCATATGGCTCTCTGCTCAGCGGGGAGCCTGCTTCCCTTCCTCTCTCTTTGCCTACTTGTGATCTCTGTCTGTCAAATAAATAAATAAAATCTTAAAAAAAAAAAAAAAGAAAGTGAAAACAGTAATTTGAAAAGATAGAGGCACCCCCATGTTCATTGCAGCATTATTTACAATAGCCAAGGTATGGAAGCGACCTAAGTATCCATCGATGGATGAATGGATAAAGAAAATGTGGTATATACATATATACCATAGAATATTATTGAGCTGTAAAGAGAAGGAAATCTTATTGTTTGGGACAAACGGGTAGACCTTGAGGGCGTTATGATAAATGAAATAAGTCAGACAGAAAAACACAAACACCATATGATCTTAGTTATGCGTGGAATCTTCCAAGACAAAACAAAAACCCCAAACTCATACACACAGAGAACAGACTAGTGGATGCCAGAAACAGGGAGTGGAGGGGCTGGCAAAATGGGTGAAGGTAGTCAGAAGGAACAAACTTCCAGGAATGAAATAAGTAAGTTCCAGGGATGTGATGTACCGCTTGGTGACTATAGTTAATGATACTGTATGGTATGATAGAAAATTGCTGGTAGGCTAGATCTTAAAAGTTCTCATCACAAGAAAAAAGAATTCTAACTGTGTATGGTGGTGGATGTTAACTAGACTTACCGTGGTAATCATTTTGCAAAATATACAAACATTGAATCATGCTGCGCATCTGAAACTAATGTGTCAGTTATATAATTGATATATTGATAACTGAAACTAGTGTATGTCAGTAATAAGAATAATAATAGTAAATAATAAAGAAATGTCCCTCTTCATTTCCTCGCTCCTAATCTTTATTTTGTTAATTGTATATTCTCCTTTATTCTTAGGCAATTCTCCGAGTCATTTTCTTTATCCTAAATAAAACAAAATTTTAAGTTTTGATTGTTATACTTTATTTTTTCTCAAGTGGTTAGGGTTAATAGATTACATTGGCCTATCCTACAAATGACAGAAATGATCAGTTATCAGTTTTATTATGTATTAGTTTGACTTTTAACATATTTTATATATATTTTAATATATTTTAACATATTTTTGTGACCCCTTTAAGTAGAAAATAAATCGTGTGATTGAGTAAATGTTTCAACAAGGGGTTTCGGAACATGTAAATCTAATAAAAAATTAGTTGTCTTCCAACTTTTAAATAACCACACTCTCAAATAAAGAGTAATGAACAAAGGAAATGTACGGTTGCATCGGGGAATAGGTTCTATAAATAAAAGGAATATTTTGTAACTTATTTATTTTAGATGAAAAAGAGAAATTCGAACCCACAGTCTTCAGGGATACACTTGTCCAAGGGCTTAATGAAGCTGGTGACGACCTTGAAGCTGTAGCTAAGTTTCTGGATTCCACAGGCTCGAGATTAGATTATCGTCGCTATGCAGACACACTCTTCGATATCCTGGTGGCTGGCAGTATGCTTGGTAAGCCGTGCGTTATCGATTCTTCCTCTAGTACTTTCCCTTCCATTGGAGTATTTCCTTGTAAGATAGAATCTTTATAAATTCACGTTCATGAGACTTGATAAAAAAACACAAATGGGAGCCTCTACAATTTTTACCTACTTTGCAGTTTGGAATGGTAGTAGCAGGGCTGTATAAACAGTGGTTAAGAAAGGCTTAGAAATATCAGTTTTTATGGATGTCATAGCATGGCCACTTTGCTTTACAGCCAAAGGCCAGCTGCTCATGAGTCCCTAATTCTTACATGCTTCTGGAGCAGATATAGGAGGAGTAAGTAATTTCTATAGTAGAGTATAACTCTGTGCGTGTCTGCTGGTTCCTTCGGTGTATTTAATTCACCCCCAAAGGCCACAGCACCTTTCTTTTGAAGCCCAGCCTTTTTTCATGTGGTAAAATGTAACTATTAACAAATTTAAAAGTAATTCTCTGTTTTTCATTAAATGCTTTTTAAGCCGTAAATAAGAAAATGTCAGAAATACAGTTCAAATCTGGTTTTTAAAAAATGAGTAGTTGTGAGCATATAGGTAAAAGGAATAAGGGTAGAAGTTCTAAAATTATTAAAGGTACGTTAAAAAAGCAAAATAAAAATTAGGGAGCAGAGGCATCAAGGAAGAAAGCTTTAGAATACTCTTTCAGTGACATGGTCTGTTGATCTAAATGGTGATTAGATGCCATAATGACCCATTGTTCCTCTCCTCGTTATTCTTAGAACTTAGTTTTTATAATTAGTTCCTGTGGTAACCATAAATCAAGAGAAGTGGTCAGATCCCTTAGGCCAGTGATTTTCAGCTGCCTCGGGGGCATTTGCAAGTGTGTAGAAATGTTTGGGTTGCTACAAGACTTGGTAGTGGAGGGAGGTGTGCCACCTATTTTGCTCTGCAAGGGCTATTCAATATAATGAAAAATGGCCCTGTCCAGTGTGGTATCAGTGCCTTTCTTTGAGAAATACTGCTTAATGGGGGCCTCGGTGGCTCAGTCGTTAAGTGTCTGCCTTCAGCTCAGCTCATGATCCCAGCGTCCTGGGATCGCTGCCCCATATTGGGCTCCTGCTCGGTGGGGAGCCTGCTTCTCCATCTCCAGCTTCCCGGTGTTTGTGTTCCCTCTCTTGCTATCTCTCTCTGTCATAAATAAATAAAATCTTAAAAAAAAAAAAAAAAAAGGAAAGGAAAGACAAAGAAACACTGTTTAAGCCATCCTATTTAAGGACAAGGTACGTACTTTCATGCATTTTTAGGTAGAGCCACACTTAAAAATTCTTCCCTCTGAGAAATCTCTCCATTGGGGTATGTGGCTCCACTTACTAGCTGGCCCCCTTTTGATCTGTACTGCTGCTTTTCACCACATACCTGGTTGGTTTCATTGCTGTTATTGTTCTTAAAGATCTTATATTATCACGGCTGATAATTCAAGTCCAAGTATAAGAGCTATGTGTATTGTGTTCAAATCTCACTTCCCACAGATAACTTGTTAATATTTTGATTAATTCCCTTCTAGAAATCTCTTTACCTACATATGCTAATTTGTAAGAATAGGGTGATATTATACAAGTATGATACTCTGCATGGCTCTCATATTTACTCAACAACATGTTGTTGGCTCTCATGCCTATGGGTGTTACCTTGGATGATTCCAAAAAGAACTAGAATCATACTGATTTTGAAGCATATTTAATTTGTTCCTAGTTTTCTTTATTATGAATAGTTAGTATCTGTATACACATAGCCTTGTACTTTTATCTGATTATATCTTTATATATTTAGTAAGGGATTAATGAATTGAAGGAGAGAGCTATCTATCTTTATCTATCTTTGTCTGCCTATCAGAGAAAGAAGACCAGCCCTCAAAAGGAATATTCTAATTAATGTTTTATCAAAAATCGTGTGTTCTTACAAGTTTACCTATACCTTTAGCAATAATATTAGGTACTGTCAAACTTGTCAGTTTTTTTTAAATTTTGCCCATTAGGTAAGTGATGTTTTCATTCACAAACTTTAAATCAATAGTGAAGTTGAACATTTTCTGATGCGATGATTGGCTTTTCCTATTTCATTAATTATGATATATATTTATTGAGGTACTGGTAAGTTTTACACAAGAGTAGTCTTCAGCGAGTTTCAGTTCTTGCCAAAGTCATTCATGACTTCAGTAGTCATTCCTGTAGACCTTTTTCAGTTATTAATGTCCTCTTGGCAGCTCCTACTGACCCTCTGTCATTCTTGAAATGGTTTACTTTCTTCCCTCGCGTGAGACCATTTCAACTTCGATTTCTCTGGATGCCTTTCACATGACTCTTGGGTTTCCATACTTATTGCCCCCACATATGGATTAAATTATCTGTGCACTTTGCACTGATAATCTCAAATCTTCATTAACCATCTATATTATGATGATCAGCAAATTTTTATCTAAAGTCCAGATTTTGCCCTTTCACTCCACATCTGTATATCCAAAAAGGTAGGGCAGCATGTATGGTAAGACTTAGGAGCACAGCTGGCCGAACCCCCAGATAGCTCTGAGGCCAGACCTATGAGGTAATGAAGAAAGCCAGCCAGGCATGTTCTTTTTACATAAACACTTTGTTTACTTGGTGAGTATGGGAATTGTCTTCATAGCCACAAAAAAAAAATTTACCTTCTTCCATTGTTCTTAAAACAGTAGTCATCCTGGTTTTTTAGTTGTGTTTTTTGAAGAGTAGTTACAAGAAATATTTTCTTTTGCTTATATTTTGAGGAAAACAGCAGGCTTACCAAAATTTTAGAAAGGGCAATTGATACTTGAGTCCGGTATCAGGGGAAAAGAAATTAACAAGCTGTAGCAATATTATTAATGTGTAACAAATGTTTTGTAAAAGAATGCAGTTTTTAAAACTTACCTCTTAAGAGATAACACTAGAGTTTCAAAATCAGACGTTTCAGTTATATAACTTCTGAGAGATAGGAGTCATTAGCCCAGAGTTTTTAGAAGATTATCATCTTAATAAAATTTTGTTCCAGGTGGTTGTATTCATTACAGAGGGCTAATTAAAATCTTATGCCTAAATTAATTGCATGAAAATAGATTCCTGAAAGAGCTGACTTTTCTAAAAAGTAATTTGCTTATAAAATGATATGCTGGAGTCTGAAAAAGGTTGACTAGATATAGCACTTTCATCCAAAGATCTGAAATCACAAGTTAAATCAAGATACTTACATAAATGCTTAAAAGAAGTGGCTGGCACACATATATGTTCGTCAAATACTTGTTGAGTGTTTGAAAGGCATTCGTTGGCTTATTTAAACTCCCTACCCTAATTATAGTGAAGGAGAATCAGAAAACAAAAACACCTAGTGTTGATTCTTTTCTTCTAATCAACCAGGGTTTGTAATGGCCATCATCGAAACTTATAGGAGAAGCCTTTGAATGTGCAAATTTGAATCATAGGAAAAAGAGACATTCTTTTGTTCTAGTCCATTTATTCCATGATGTTGTATAGGCCGTGGGGATAAAAGATGAGAGAGAATAAAATACACTCTTTGCTAAGCAACACAGCTGCCAGGTCATCAAGTACAAATAGGAAGGAGTAGGAATATAGACTGTTCAACCCTGCGTGGATAGTAGCGTTAGTGGAGGAGGGACCAGGTTTCAAACCTACTCAAGTAGAAACTAACAAGATCTGCTCTAAGAGCCAAGTCTGGCCAACCTCAGTGCTGGTGAGCTGGAGTCCCGCAAAATATTATTAAGCCTGAAAAAGTGAACCATGTCCCAGTGTGAGACACATCAGGAACTACATGGAGAATAATTGAATCCAGACTTAAAGTGATAGGATCTTATAGTGATAGGGTCCTGGTAGAACATTACTCTCACACACTATGGTAGTACTATAAAATGGATCAACTGATTTGCTTTCTATTAGAAATAGACACAAATATGTAACAACATATGCATCTCCACATGTACCCTATCTTATGAATTTTTATATGATTCTAGATTTTTACATCTAGTTTTACTGTTCTCCTACATGTGCAGGAATTGATCTGTTCTGCAAATCCTCCTTTCATTTCAGTATTGTCTTAATCATTACCTTTCTCTTTTCAGCCCCTGGGGGAACACGCATAGATGATGGTGACAAGACCAAGATGACCAACCACTGTGTGTTTTCAGCAAATGAAGATCATGAAACCATCCGAAATTATGCTCAGGTAGAGCCCCTCGTTTAGAGATTGTTGTGTAAGAAGGGAAACATTTGAGCAGAATTTGGGTAACTTTGGGTTCAGAAATTCTACAGGCTACTTTTTTAATAGGAATGTTAGATAGCTCTTAAACCTATGAAAAGATACTCAACTGCATTCATAATAAGGCAGTGGACATTAAAACTTTGCCAAAGTAGGCTTTTTTTACTTCTTACCTGTACAGAACACAGAGGATCAGATGCTCGCATAAATTCTCTTGGGAGTATAAATTGGTACAATGTTCAGGAAGAGCAGTTGGGTACTGTCTTTTAGAACTAAAACTACACACTTCCTTTGACCCCCAGCCATTCCACCTCTAGGACCTTATCCTGCAGATACGCTGAAGGTCAGGAAGTGGTGGAACTGTAGAATGGAACAGCCTGGTAAACATGACCTTGTAAGGCTGAACATGCATGCATCGTGACTAGTCAGTTTAAGATGGGTGTCTTCGTATTCTGTCACTGGCTCTTACAGTCAGTTGTTACTCTCAGCTAGACTATGATTGCACGTCCCAGGACTCAACTGACTGTGTAAACTGGAAATCAAGTTTGCTGGATTTTCATACCATTTATTCTTTTTCCTTACTGCATTCTAGTTGCCGGCCTGAGTCATTACTCTTTCCTCATGGGGCGACAGTGTCATTTTAAGTCTTGGACTCCATCTTGATCATATTAAGGGATAAGCTTACTAAAAGTTTTAGATGAGAGCTTATTATGTAGCTATAAGTGAAAGGAATTAGATTCAGAAATCATTTCCAGTTATAATAAAAAATAATCAGCATTTATAAAATCTCTTATTTAAATAAGAACATTGTATTATTCTATTCAGGCTACCATAACAAAAAACAGTAGGCTGGATGACTTTAATGGTAGAATTTTATTATTCCCAGTTGGGAAGGCTGGGGAGGCAGATCACGGTGTCAGCCAGTTTGGTTCCCGGTACAGTCTCTTCTGGCTCTTAGAAGGCAATCAGTCCTATCAGATTAGGGTCTCCCTAATGGCCTCATTTAACCACCTCTTAAAGTCCCTACTTGCAAATACAGTCACATTGGAGGTTAGGGCTTCAACATAGGAACTTAGTAGGAACACAAACATTCAGACCATAGCAAACATCATTCCAGTTAAAAAAAAAAAAAAAAAAAAGCCCAGAATTCTACCGGCACAGTGGCAAACCTTGCTTGAATGATCTGACTAGATTTTGAGGGCTAGTACTCTTTTATTACCTTTAAGTTATACCAATTTTTGCTTGTCTGCCAGAAAACTTGCTCGTGTAGGCCTAAGAGTAGGATATCCCTGAAGTCTGCTCTCATCTTCGTGATATCTACAACTCCCTTCATTTCCATTTTTAATCTCTGCGTCTCACAGTTTTAACATTATTATATTTCCATCAAAGTTATTTTTGGTTTCTTAACCTGTTTTACTCCTGACTGAATTTCTTTTATTCTACATGGATGTATTCATCCCCCCAACCTTTCCCCAGGTCATAATAACCCCTTTGAAATCCTTCCAATTTTTTTATCACAGAATGCACACGTTTAAGTACAATTTTCTATTATTATTATTAGAGGTCCATGTTGTGGTTGTGGTGAGTTTCTACACCTATTGTCTTTTAGAATTGTTTATATGATATTGAACAGTTCTCTTTTATGTTTAGGTCTTCAATAAACTCATCAGGAGATATAAGTATTTGGAAAAAGCATTTGAGGATGAAATGAAAAAGGTAAAAATTCAAATGTGATGTCTTACCTGTTTAATGAAATGGAGGGGGACAAAAATTTTGCTTATACAGTGATAGTGCTGAAGTACCATGAACATAGTAAGTTTTTAATAAATATGTCAAATGAATGAGTGCAACGGGTCATTAGCTAATAGCTATAGGAAAATATACACAATTAGCCTAGACTTTGTTCATTCATGTTTAATGTAAGACAGCCTGCTTTGCTCCATAGGAATGGTTTTATAGCATCTGATCCCAGACTTTGAGGGCTTCGAGTAAAAACTAGAGATACCAAAATATGCAAGAAAAATGATTATATCAAGCAAAGAGTCAAGGTGTGGTGATTTAATCAGTTAAAGCAAATGGAAGAATGTATGGATAGCAGATAATACCCAGCAACATTTTTTAATTTCCAAAAACACAGTTTAGCAAAGGGGATAAAAGCATTTCTTGGGAGATAATATATGAGTGTCAATATCAGTGGTGTTTCTCATCTGTAAAACAGCTGCCGTAAGATGACATACCTCATAGTTTTGTGCAAATAAACCAGATGACTTATAAGGTGGTGAATACTTAAGTGACCTCTAGCAAGTCAGGAAAAGAAATAGTCGCACCTCATTTAAAAAAGCCCTCCTTTCAGTAATTGCAACATGCGCCCTGTTCCAGTTTCTAACTCTTGGGTGTTTACATATAGTACCTACTGCATTAACTTATTACAGATTTGTGTGTTGCTTTTTATTGTTTCCAATTTAGGTATCTGCCTAAATTATACACCAAGGGAAAAAGGAACCGTAACATCTACTTTGCTACTTACTTGCTTCCCACTATTCAGGGTAAATCCATACTGTTTAAAAAAAAAAAAAAAAGTGGATCCATACATAAGGGAAGATCTTGACAGTAAAATCATTCCTTAAACGATGAAGGGCGGCCACTTGAATTGATTAGGGAGAATGTCCCTGACAAGTTGGAGAAGGTGCAAAGCAGCCATTTGATTGTTTAACCTCAGGCATATTACTTAAATTCTGTGTGCCTCAGTTTACTTTTCTGTGAAATGAGGATCAAGGCTTTTGTAGGTATTAACACAGAGAAAGGAATCAGAAAAATAGCTGGTACCCTTGACAAGTTTTAGCTATTACAAATGTATAATTCAGGTAAAACAATACGTGTCTATATATACATATATATATATATATGTATATATAGTTATATAGCTATTTATAATATGGAGACCTATATAAGTGCATTTAAAAATCTGGAAGGACACCCATTAAATAGCTAATAATCTTAATTCTAAGGAAGCAGGGTTAGAGAGGAGATCACAGTTTTATTATTCTGTAGCGGTCGATTTTATTCTTACTATTGTATATTAAAACTTTTTTAAATGGTAAAAAAAAAAATGTGATCCATTACATTACTAGGTGCCTACAAAATAACAAGCACTTGATTAAATAAAGGAGAGGAAATAATAGGGGGAAATTATGTAAAGCATTTAAATAAGCACTTTACCACTTTTGTCTAATAATACCATTCATATTTTTACTTCGCTTAGCTCATTTGTACCTTGAAAATTTCCTTAGCTATTATATTCATGTGATGAATATGCTTTGAAGAACTATTTATTTTTCACAGTATATCCATTTTTCAAGGAATGTTCTGGAATACACACAGCATCTGATTTTAACATTGATTAATATAATTGACCAGGGGCACCTGGGTGGCTCAGTGGGTTAAAGCCTCTGCCTTCAGCTCAGGTCATGATCCCAGGGTCCTGGAATCAAGCCCCGCATCAGGCTCTCTGCTCAGCAGGGAGCCTGCTTCCTCCTCTCTCTCTGCCTGCCTCTCTGCCTACTTGTGATCTCCGTCTGTCAAATAAATTAAATAAAATCTTTAAAAATATATATGTAATTGACCAATGTGAATATTAATTTAAAAAATCTATCTTTTGCACTATTTTGTTATAATGGAGTATTTTTAATGCATGTGAGTATATTGATGTGCTTCAAAAGTAGCGTTTAAAAGTTTATTTTGGAAGCCGTTTCTCATTCATTTGAATCTTAATCATCTTTACAATCAGAGGAAAAGGTGAAAGCAATGAGAAGGGTCTATGATTTTCTCAGTCCTTTTACTCTGCCTTGTTTCTGGTATTTCCTGGAGCTTCACTCGTTGATGCTCTCATTCCCTTGGTGTTTTCTTATAACTTTGTCTTTAATTCATTGAGACTTTAATAGGCATAACCTGGGAGTGAAATGGAATAGTTCAATTCCAGTTCTGCCGCTTACTCATAATACAAATATTTAGAATCAGATAATTTCTCTTAATGTAATAATTCTTTAACTGTCTGGGATAGTAAATTAATATTGCCCTATGGGCTGCACAGAGTAAATGGCATTTGGTTGGTGCAAAGTAGTGAAAAAGTCACCAAGGCCCCACCCAATAGTGATAGTGAGCCCTGGGGATCTTGGTAACATGCCCCAGGACTATGAAACAGAGAAGATAGTCATGGAATCATTAGGTGGGGGAACCTTAGGAAAAAGGAGGGCATTGCTGAATATTCTTAGAATTAAAAATGGAAAGTGGGGTATAAAACCCTTTGCTTTGGTTTTCCCGGAACCTTTCTAGGTTTGCTACTTTTTTTGATTTCCCCTCCAAAATTGCTCTTTCCCACTTACATCAGAGGCCTTTCCTCCATTAAGAACGTGGGTCAGATCCTCCATTACCTCATCACCAGGGCGGTAAAGCTGCACGATCCAAGAAATAGCAAGTTTGAGTCTTGTTATTTTTATAAGAGCATCAAGAACTTAGAAAACCTTTCTCACCCAGCACTCTTGTCTTAAAGAATTTTACATGCTCTGAATTCAGACAAGCGAATGCTGATGTCAAAACTTACGGACTTTTTCCTGTTTTTTGTTCATTGTGCTAGAACAAGCCCAAAGGAAATGAATAGATGTAGTGGGGGGGACAGAGGCACCCCCAAAAATGAAAAATGTGAAGGACAATAATGTATTTCAGTAAATGTTATGCTCATTATGTAAAACTTACCCTTCGTCCTGTACAAAGTCAAATGTAAATTTTTTATGTAACCTATTCACAGTGTTCTCCAAATACCTCTTTTTGTTCCCATGGATGTTATCTATAGCTACGTGTAGGTAAACTTGGAAGAAAGGGCCCATGCCCGAGAAAGTCACTTTCCTTAGCATCCAGTTTCTAATTGAACCTATGTATGTGTTTCTAATGAATAATAACTCAGGTTGTTCACATCTAGCCACGCATGGGTGTTCTGATCGTTCTTTTCCTACTTTAGTCCTTTGCTTTATAGACATGGTTTCTTTTGTTTGACCCACAGCTTCTCCTCTTCCTTAAAGCCTTTTCCGAAACAGAGCAGACAAAGCTGGCAATGCTGTCGGGGATCCTGCTGGGCAATGGCACCCTTCCCGCCACCATCCTTACCAGTCTGTTCACCGACAGCCTAGTCAAAGAAGGTAAGCACTCTCGTGTTTTCTTACCTGGCAGATGTGAAAAGTAAAGCCACACATGCTTAGGAAAATAGCAGCATCTCCTCTTCCTGTGATCTGCTACCCACCCATCCTCCATGTAAGAGATTTTCTGTTTATCTTTAAACAGAAGAATTGTACATGTTTATTGTGGGGAATTGGAAGAAAGAATATGCATACTTTTGTACAAAGACAAAGAAAAATCAATAATAAACTGAAATTTGGGGTGTACGACTTAATGCCTAGGTTAGATACCCTGAAGTTGTTGTAGTCTAAGCCATTTCTCTCCATTTAGTTGTCACTGGCATATTTTGCTGAGAAAATGCTTCATTGTGCTTTGTGGGACATTTAACCTTTTTGCCCTCGGACACAAAATGCCAACATGTAGCACCCACCTCTATTTAGTATAACGAAAAAGGCCCCTTCTTGTTTCCAAATGCCCCGCTCCCCTGCCCTGAATGTTTATTTCCCTGTTAGAACCATTCTTCTAAACCATTACTTCTCAAAATCTTGTGCTCAGATGTTCATTTTGATCACATTTTAAGATATTCATTATCTCAGTTTTAGAAAAAAGTCCAGATGGTTGCATCAAAGTCTTGCTTTAATTTTAAGGCATTAAGAATTTTGATAGGCATGTATACAATCATTTGGTTAGAGAATACAACAAAAGTGGGCTCTTGGAGGAGGATAATGATATTCGAGTTATAATGTAACACAAAACAAAGAGTTGTTTTTTTCTTAAAAATAAAGGAGCTTTTGTGAAAACATCTGTTTCTTCTTAGAACTTAGTTTTTCTCCTACAAATGTTGAAGTCCCAGCCTCATTTATGCCTGCAGTGAAATGGATTATAGTTTTCTTTTGGCTGAAAAAAGATTAGTAAATTGAGAGTCAAGCGATATTATTTAGAGATTTTCTATAGTTTTTGGCGAAACATAGCTTAGATTTATGATGATTCTGATTCTGTGATTGTTACTAATATGTTGCTAATATTATGACATTTTGAAGTGTTTTCCTGAAGAGAATTGGTGATATTGCACATCTTATTGATGTTGTGAGCCATTTTCACACTTAGATAAATCACTTAAAATGTAAACAGTATATGTTAATTAGATTATCCTAGCCTTTATAACAGAAAATACTTGTCTTTCTGGTTGTATTAAATTCCTACATGAGATCTACAAGTTCCTTTGTAATATATCAAAAATTATTAGATAGATAGACAGATGGACAATGATGAAGCAAGCATAAAAATACTAAAATTTAGATAGTGGGTATATGAGTGAATAAATTAATTTATTCAATTTTTTTGTATATTTCTGTATATTTAAAAGTTTTTATATTGAAATTTGAGGAAAGGGAGAGAAGGAAAATACATTTGCTATGGAAATGATGTAGTGCTTGTATCATACAGTTTTTTCTTACACTCTCCACCATCTTTAGAAATTAGAGGTTTAAACTTTTGTTTCCTAAATAGGAACATATTAATTCAAATTACCCTTTTTTCCCAACTCTGCACCCAACAAATAGCTAACACCAAGGAAAATCTTGAGTACAGAGAAATTCTCCAGATTTCTAACAAGAAACACTGTTAATGCAAAGTGATAGGTTTAGCCAAGATTTGGATTCTTAGTTTAAAATATTGTAATGCTTTGTTTCTAGTGAAATACAGATTATACCACATTTTAATTTTTATTTTGATTTAAAGACATAAATATATACTAAATTTTACACTGACTTGGTGAATTCATGTCAACAAATATAAAATCCTCCAAGTTGTATCACCTGTGTTATTGTCCTAGCCATGGTTTCTGGGGTTTTTTTTGTTTGTTTGTTTGTTTGTTTTTTTGTTTTGTTTTTTGGCTAGTTCCTCTGCTTATTCAAATAAAGAAAATTTGACAAAGTTGATGTTTGTATAAATGATATATCAACTGGACACTTTTACTTGCAACTAACTCAAAGACAAGACTTAAAATTGCTATATAAGAACATTTGTTGGCATATAAGAACATTTATTTCTTATTTAACAAAAAAAATGTAAAAGTTGGATAGACTACAGGGTGAAACAACAATGGCATCCGGGTCTTGAATGTTTTATCCCATAATTTCTCACTACCATTCATAGCATCAACTTCACTCCAAGGATGATTTCCCTAGTAATTATAAGATGTCTGCTGGTATAGTTATGGCACATGCTTTCTTGTTCAAATTAAGTGGAAGAGTAATTCTCAACATAGGATAATTTATCTTGCCTTCAGCTGATTGGCTGCCATAAGCCACATGACCAGTTTTGGCCGGGTAGCAGTTGCCAGGGAGATGCTCTGGGCAGATGGGCTTCTGCTGAGGTCTCTAAACGAATCATTGCAGAAGGAGGTTGTACCAGAATTTAGGCTAGTCACCTGACCTAACCAAAATTGAAATTCTCTTAGGAAAGAGGAAAGGGTAGTAGAGCTTCTTAGATCAAAAATAGTGAAGCATTTGCTTGAGAAAAATCAGTTTAATATTTCAACTACATTTGAACTGTTCATTAAGTAAATGTAACATTACCTTGGAAAGTTGAAGTGTTCACAGGAGAACTGTCTACTAATGATACTTACTTATATTTGGAAATAAATGCTAATGTCAGTATGGATATGTAGTTCAGTGGTTTTCTGATTAACATAGCTCTTTTAATCATCTCTTTAAAAATATTGAGAAAAAAAGTTCAATTTGAAACAGCATCAATATTTTTATAGCTTAACTCATGAGCATTTTCAAATGCTTTTTACAAAAGTAAAATTGTAAGTTAAATGATGTACTTTCTTGTATAGCTTTATTTATATCTGTCACTATTAATGGTTTTTAACTGGTATCATTTATCAGCAAATTAGTTCATGTGTTTCTATTTCATTTTTATGTCTCAAGATTTGTTTGTTGTACCTCAGGATCATTGTTAAACACATGAAATACTGGTGAGCCACATGGTGAAGTAGAGACAAAGTCACTAGAAAATACTGGGCTTTTAATCTGTTTTAAACCAAGGTAAAACTAAATAAATAAATTTACAGTTAATTATACCAGGCTAGCATTAGAAAGACCCACTTTGAAAAATATTTTAACTCTTTTTCCTTCTTATGAAAATGCTCTCTTTTGAGTAATGAAAATAGAAATGTGCCTAAAGAAGAGACTAGAACTGTATCTAGAGAGCTCTCTGTTTTACCTCTACCAAATCAAGTCTTTGAGCACTTTACTCATTTCAGGAAACCCAGTGGGCGCTGATGAAAGGAATGAAACTCTCACTTTTTTCTTTTTCTTTTTTTTAAACAGGCATTGCAGCCTCATTTGCTGTCAAGCTTTTTAAAGCATGGATGGCGGAAAAAGATGCCAACTCTGTTACCTCTTCTTTGAGAAAAGCCAACTTAGACAAGAGGCTGCTTGTAAGTGTCGTCTAGACAAGGGATTGTACGCTTGATGCTTCAGTTGTGGCTTTGACGATGCGTGACTGAAATGCTTGGGTCTCTTTTCATTTGGAACATGGTTCCATTTATTTCTGTATATTTGGCAGATCGAAACGAATTCCATCTTAATCTTTGTAAATAAATGGAATGATGAAATTAAAGAGTCATGGGGACTACTGAGACTTTCAAATTGGGTAGTTTGTTGGGATTGAGTCAACATTTATCAGAATTAACACTTTATTTTATAACTAGTAACTATACAGATTTAAAGTTGTAATAATAAGTCCCATCAGTCCCACCTAATTAAACATTTATGTTAGGTTAGAGATGGATGATGCTGATCTCAGGTAGTTGTTACTTTGTTAACAAAATAAGAGTTTAAACAGGATTCCCTGTTTATGCCAAGATACCTTGGAAATACTTAGGTTTTTAGGAAAAGAAATAAGTTTATTGTGGTTGATTTGAAGCTCCCATGATCACGATTGTTTGATTATATTTTTATTTCTCTATCTTTATGTTTTTCAAAAGAAAGCAAGAGTAATATTTTGTTCTTGAATTTCTACCTGCTTTCTACAATTTCTTTCAGCTATGCAGATGACAGAGATTTCTCCAAGTGACATTGCTTTCACAATCTAGAACAAAGTCTAAAATTGAAAGACACCCTTGCTATCTTCTGTTCACCTGGTCTGTCCTCTGTCTGTATTTTACTTCTGAGGTATTGCAGTGTGCAAGGGTATCTCTCAGTCTAATTCTAAACATGGGCTCTTCCCCTCAGAAAACCCAAGAATAATTTTAACTGTAAATTCTTTTACTTTCAGTCACTTAAAATTCCTTTGTCTCTTGAAGTTTACCTTAAAATAGCACTTTGGGGGTCTTTAAAGTCTTTAGAATATGATAAAGAAGAAGAAAGGTATAGAATCCAGTTATTTTCTGCCACTGATAATAATTTTTAGTCAGCCTGTATTTGAGAGTCTGTGCTGTGCCAGGCATGGTCCTAGAAGCTGAGCAGACAGGAGAGGACAGGACAGAAAAGTTCCCTGCCTTCAAGAACCCACTTTCTCATGGACTTAGGGTAGATGCTTCCATATAGAAGGAGAAATCGTGAGTGACTAGGTGGGCTGAGCAGGGTGGAAGCTCATATGAAGGGGGGGACGTGTTTGGTGAGTCAGATGAAAGAAAAGCTTTTGGGAAGTTCTCAGCAGAATTGTGCATATGGAAACAAGAGCAGAAGCAGGGAGACCTTAATCTGATGGATGTTTGTATCTGGATAGGGTTTTTCTAACAAACACAAACTGTGTTCCAAGTGGTAAATGTCATGATAGGATTTAGACTGACTTGACTTCAGTTTAATCTGAATAATAATCTTCAATGTATTATGTGTCATTTATAAGGATTTTGGATATATTTCATAAATAAGCCACCAGTAATATGTTTGATGGTATATTTCTCTGAACGTAACTTTAGATCAAACTTTGCAGTACCATTCTTCCTAAATTGAATATTGAATGCTGGTGTGAAATAACGGAATAATTATTGGCCATGAGTATACTCAGTTACATCCTTAAATATATCTGGCTGCATAATTTTGTTCAAGCTACTTAGCCTTATTGAGACTTCATTGATCTTCTGTAAAAATTTTTACTTTACATAATTATGAGGAGAATGCCCACCACATTTTGATTCATGGAAGAAACTCAGATTAGTTCCCTGCATCCCGAATTTGGAAGACCTTTTGAATGGGAGAACAAATGGCAGAATTTCAGTCTGATATGAAATGTTTGCTAAACATGAACATGTGTTTAATAGCTGCTCCCACCAACTCTTCTGACATTTTGAAACTTACAACTCAACAAGGGAAGTTTTGGGGTGATGATACAGAGAATTGAACTTTGAGTCATGTCATAGAAGGCTTTGGCTCTGTCCCTGTATGTGGTGGCAAACCTATTACAGATTTTTCTACTGAGATTTTTACTGGAGCCTTATAGCCACTGACCATGCGTGTGTGCACATCTAACCTCCATAAAAGTTTGGATCTATTTTTTTAGACTGCGGCAGTCTGAAAAATGTGAGAGCTTTGAAAACTGTCTTAATATCTTAGTTGGGTGTTGAAGTCACACAGGATTAGAACATGACTAAGTGTTACTGAGACTCTGCCAAGCTGTGTAAGGTAAAATGGAAATGAGGTAAAAATATGCAAGCAGCCATGGTGAATTGCTCTCTTTAAAAATTTCCAGCAGAATTATGTAATGAACCAAAGAGTTTGGTAGGGTGGGTTTAGATTAGATCTTACTTTGACTTAATTTAGAGCCACCGTGATAAACAGATAAGACAAGAATTCTCTTTAGCTCCAAGCTAGTATTAGAATAACAGCATTTTCTCAGAATGTGAATAGAGGTTCTTGAGCTAATAGTCAATGTTGTTTTTCCGATGTTATCTCAAGTCATCTCCCCATTATTAAAACTGACTTTTTTCTATTAACTGGTAAGTTACCATGTTATTTGCACTTAATTTAGCAGATTTACTTATGAATTCATACATGCTACACTCTGATTAAAGTGAAAGAAAAGTAAATATGGTTCAAAATGGGTGAAGCTAGTTTATGTAAGTTGCTTAGCTTTTTTTTTTTTTTTTTTGCTTCCTCTGTAAAACTGCCTAATTTTAGAAGGTGCTTAGCGAATGCTCAAGAAATATACCCAAGATTTATTCTTCTCGGCAATCATTCTCTGTTCTGGCATTCCAAATATGAGATATTCTTAGTGCTATTTTAATATGAAAATGTTGTCCTTTAGGCTTGCTGGAATTTGAATGGTTTTTTGTTTAGCAGTCTTTTTCCTTTTGTCTTTCAGGAGCTCTTTCCGGTTAATAGGCAGAGCGTGGATCATTTTGCTAAATACTTCACCGACGCAGGCCTGAAGGAGCTTTCTGACTTCCTCCGCGTCCAGCAGTCCCTGGGCACCAGAAAGGAGCTGCAGAAGGAGCTGCAGGAGCGTCTTTCTCAGGAATGTCCAATCAAGGAGGTGGGGAACCGTCAGCTTCCCTCACTGCGAAACCCATGCCATGAGAGGAATGGCATTGTGTCGCACAAGCTTGACCTTCCTTAAGGAGACCTCCCATTGTTTACTTCTGTGAACTTCCTCTACTTGTGTATACCATTTAAACTAGCTCAGTGCCAAAGTTTTGGTTCAGAGTCCTCTAGCTTGTTCCAGAAATTAGTGATCATTTCCACACAGGTGATTTATTGTATCAGGCTACTGTGGTGAGCAAACTAGCTCATCTGCCAGATAGAGTTGCCATCCACTATCAGTATACGCCATGATATGGTGGTTTTTCCATTTGATCGCAGGCAATATAATATGGTTAAGTATATGGGTAGTGTTTGAAAGCAACACTGGGTATTTCATGGATCACCAGGTATGAATATATAGAGTTTTTTCTTTCTTTTTTAATTTTAAGAGAAAAAATTTTGATGGTTTTTGAATTCATGTCGTGGAAAAAGACGAGTTAGGCCAGTGACTTGTTGGATCACACTCAGAGTAGCTGGGTTTCCCTGTAAATGTAAATATTACATTTTTTATAACAGTAGTTCATAGAGCTGTGACTGTATCTTTGTAATTTTTTTAAAAAGTCCTGTCTGCAGAAAACTTCCTATTTGAACTTTAACATGATAATCCAAAATTAAATCAAGTCCTTTCCTTTTGCTGTTTGCTTCCAAGTCCCCAACCCTTAGCACTCTGCATGCTCTAAGCCCAGCACGGCCCCTTACGTGGTTTGACTGGAGAATCCCAGACCAATGCTATCCAGCAGATGGAGGTGTTGGGACAAAAAATATTTCTAAATCTCATGGCAGTAAGGTCAGCAATATATTGAGTAACGTTTCTTCAAGCAAGAACTTGAACATGATTGTCCGTGGAGGGGGGAAAAAAAAGGCACGATCAAAAAATGTTGCGATGCTTCTGGATGCAAACATGTTGCCTGTCTTTGCAGCTTTCTTTAGCCAGCTCAGGCACTGGAGCTTCTCAGTTCCTTCTCTTCTCAAAGGCCACTCACCCCATTCCTGACACTTCTGCATCCCAGGCCAGGGGGAAGAAAACAGTGTCTTTTCACTTAAGTCAGGGAGGGGGGAAAGAGTCGTGCTAGTCACAGAGTAGTAGTACAACTTGACATAGATTATGGTGTTTAATCACTTTTGGGGACCTAACCTGTCTTTGTGATTGTATTTCAAAAGGGAAAAAAAATTTTTTCTAAACCAGTTTGATAAAAAATACATTAAGCTGGGCACACCTTTTATCCCATGTCATCAGATTTGAGGATAAATTTGCATATTTAAACATGGTTGTAAGGAGGGAAATAAACCTGTTCAGAGTTGCTGCATTGATAGGAATCCTATAAAAAAATTGCCTTTGCACTTGACAATTTATTCACATGGGGCATGAGGGTCCTCAAAAGTAATCATTCTGTATTAAGGAATCAATATATTAAGGAATATATTGTGGTGGATGGACTTGCACAAACCAAAGCCATTATTCATCAAGGGGTTTAAAGCTGAGAGTTGGAGGTAAAGATTCACAGCTCCGTCGCCTTGTTTAAACCCCAGAGAATCAAACCAGCTCAAGTAATCAGCTCTGCTGGACCCAGAGGGCCTCCTGCGCGTAAAAGAATTACCTCCTAAGAAACAAAGATTCCTTCTTATTTCCTGTTCCCCAGCAGCTCCCGGCCAGACAGGAACTTATTAATTTTTGGACTAAAAATAACTGTGCTTTGCGAACAAATCATTGTTCTTCCTCCCTCTTGTAATCCGAGACTAGGTGCTAGGAAAGGAGGGACCAAGCTGAATGTCCCCCCAAAAGCCTTTTACTAACCAGGCACAGTGAGAGGGAAGCTCCCCTCTGCCTCTTACTCTCTGACCCCTTTCTCCATGAAATGCAGGTGGTGCTCTATGTTAAAGAAGAAATGAAGAGGAATGACCTTCCCGAGACAGCGGTGATTGGACTTCTGTGGACCTGTATAATGAATGCCGTTGAGTGGAACAAGAAGGAAGAACTGGTTGCAGAGCAGGCCCTTAAGCACCTGAAGGTACAGGGTCAACAGGGACCAGTCTTGGTTGCAGGCCAACTGCAGCTGGTTAACTGTATGCATGACACATGGGTTCAACTGCAGTTCACCCAGGTTTAGGCCAGAGATAGATTTCCTGGGTGTGCTGGTTTTTTGTTGTTGCTTTGTGCGTTTATTTCTTCCAAATTTGCCACTACCTAAAATGTTACAGGTGTAAGGGTCTATGAAATATATTGAAGGTAAGTTCTTACTAAACACAATGTTGGGGGCGCCTGGGTGGCTCAGTCAGTTGAGCTTTAACCCACTTAACCACCCAGGCGCCCCAAGATACTAGGATTAAAAAGTAAATTTGGGGGGCTCCTGGGTGGCTCAGTGGGTTAAGCCTCTGCCTTCAGCTCAGGTCATGATCTCAGGGTCCTGGGATCAAGCCCCTCATCAGGTTCTCTGCTCAGCAAGGAGCCTGCTTCCCCCTCTCTCTGCCTGCCTCTCTGCCTGCTTGTGATCTCTCTGTCTGTCAGGTAAATAAAATCTTTGAAAAAAATAAATAAATAAAAAGTAAATTTTGATTGGACATAATGTTATAATAAAATATCCCTAAAAGTGAATGCTTTCTAAGCAAATCTCCAGATTTCTGCTGTGATTCAAGTATTGTTGGCCCTGTACCTCCCATGAAAATTAATGGTTGGTTTTACTCCCCACTTCTGTTCCAGCAATATGCTCCGCTGCTGGCTGTGTTCAGCTCCCAAGGCCAGTCAGAGCTCATACTCCTCCAGAAGGTTCAAGAATATTGTTATGACAACATCCATTTCATGAAAGCTTTTCAGAAGATCGTGGTTCTCTTTTATAAAGGTATCTATCCATGTTGCTCTACCACTGCGTTTCTGTGGTTTTTGTTTGGTTTGGTTTTTTGTTTCTGTTTTCGTGTGTGTGTGTGTATGTGTGTGTGTGTTTCCATGTTTTACTGAAGCTCTTCGAAGCCCAGCGCAGAGGTTGAGGCAGAGGGGGACATTGGGGTTCATGCTAATTTTTGCAAATTTCAGTGAGGCAGCCATCTTTTGTGAAGAAAGTGCTAATGCCATATATGCATGGTTAGGCCCCTGGGCACACTGCCAGAAGACTGGTGATAAACTGGTTATTATTTTTGGTGGGGAGGAATAGTGAAAAAGACTGTAATAACACAAAGTAATTAGGTCTGCTTTTGAATTGTAAGGATTAGGTCTAATAACAGTGCTACCAAAGGTTCCCTGTAGTATGTTCAGACCTTCCCAGGTGCTATAATAGCTGTCTAAAATTACTGAAATAATTAGCTTTTTACTTTGTATTTTAATTATTTGGCCCAACCATTCTCCTGTTTTTTAAGGAAGTGACTATTTTTAGAGTTTTCACTTTACTGTCTTTTCATTGTGTTTGTAAGGATTAGGTTGTCATGACAACTGGCACAGCCTTTAATAAATGAATGCTTTTTAACTGATCTATCTCAACACCTGTAGTATATAAAAAATGATGCTGAACTATTTTTTGGTCTGAGTTCATGTAGTTTTATGGGGGGAAAAGGAGAACTGAAGAAATTATACATTTTGACCATTATAAAATGCTTGTTAGAAGGTACTACAATCTTAAATGGCAATTTAATTAAAAAAAAAAAAGTATAAATTAACATCAACCCAATGTTTCTTTGCTTTTTTATGTGTTCTTAAATTTGTCAATATTGAATGATAATTTGGTCATGTGAAGTGTAAGAAATGTTACATTATTGATTAATAGCTAATTTTAAATAGCTATTAACATGTTCAAGCGTCTCAGAGTTTTCATTGGCCATCCAGTTTCTTTAGATGCGTAGGTCTTGCCCACAGGTGTTTGGGTGATACTTCACTTCTCAGCATTAAGGTTCTTGGCACAAAATTTATATCAGGAGAACATGCTGACTGCCAAGTCCTATTTGAAGTTCAGTAATTGGTGTTTTCCTCTGGCCAGATCAAATGAAGTCCTCTTAGACATGGTCATGAGATACCAATGTCCTAAAACTAGGGCTTAAAGGACACCCAAGGTGACCCATCAGAACCAAACCTGCAGGTCATATTGCCAACCCACCTGTGGTACCCAGTAGCCAAGAAGGAGAAGCCATGTCTGCCCAGCCGGTGGCCATTCTGTCAACACCAGCCATAGCTGACTCCATTGTAAACTGGTAGAGAGACCTGTGAGACAGGTTTCACATTTGCTTTGTGAGTGGCCAGTATTTTCCTCTACAGAAAAGCAAACTGTTTATAAACTAGTAGCCCAAGCACACAATTTACTTTCTTGTCACGTAATAGCTAACCCAACTAAACAGTGTCTCTTACCAAATCTTTTTGTAACTGAGACATACTTATTCGAGCCTTATCTGCAGGAGCACCTCATTTTATCATTGGACTTACTTCATTCACATGCACATACACACACAACTTTTTGTCAGTAATGGCGTCTATTAAAATCCTTTTTCCGTTTCCCAGTTTAACCATTAATGTCGACATCCGTCCCCATTGTGCTCCTTACAACAACTACTGACAACAAAACCGGTTGCTTTGAGTTATTTCCTATTCTTCAGCCCCAAATGCTAAAGAACAGTGACCTGAAATTATAAAATAACCAGATGTGGGTACCAAGAAGTAAAAAGCAGCAGCATTAGGTCTTCCTTAGGCCATTTATTAACTAGGTGGTCAGTTTTTAAACAACAGTCGGTACAGTCTGTAGAAAGTATGAACAGACCCGAGGGAACACAGGAAGGTGTCAGCATCAATTTTATCCTGGCTTAGTTATTGTTGTAAATGAAATTGGGAAACTGTAAAATGAAAACTGAAAATACATCACTGAAAAGTGAAAACTAAATGCTGTTTTTTAGGTAATTTCATAATTTCCCACAAAATTATACATATAGTCTGTTTTTCTGAATGAAATAATTACCTTTTTTTTTCTCTCGGAAAGATGGAATCCGCGAGGAATGATTTTCCATCCTACTGTTAAGAGTTACCATGTTTACCTTCTTAACTTTTTTTGGATAGTATTTTTTCTTTGACTTAATTTTACATAACAAACACCTGTGTACCAGGAGATGTACTTCCCCCCCCCCCCCAACTCCCACAAGGACTTAGATGGTCTTTTTTTTTTTTTTTCAAGATTTTATTTCTTTATTTGAAAGAGAGAGAGAGTACCAGCAGGGGAAGCAGCAGGGAGAGCGAGAAGCAGGCTCCCTGCAGGGAGCCCAACCTGGGGCTCAATCACAGGACCCTGGGATCATGACCTGAGCCAAAGGCAGACACTTAACTGACTGAGCCACCCAGGTGCCCTGGATTTGGATGTTCTTATGCTGTAATTTATCTGCCTAGAAAGGCTTTATGAACAGTTTGTATGTATTAACACACTCTCTTCCCAGTGCTACTGCGTGTATGAATCACCTTGTTAAAACACAGATTCCGTGGGGATTCTAGTTCCAAAGCTCCAGGGTTGGGCCCATAAATTTGCATTTTAACAGATTCCCAGATGATGCCAAGATTCTTGGTCAGGACAGTGGGCTAAAGGGTTATTGAATGCCAGAAATGACAAATCCTGTGCACTGTAGTAACCTATTCCAAGATTATACTTACAATTAATTCCATGTACACATACACATTTAACAAATATCAAATAGTATCTAGTTTGTTTCTCTAGTGAGTGATATGGATTCCTTTTATTTATTGTAAGGAACATTCTGCTTCAAAGCAGGTTTTTTAAAAATGTAATAGAAATAATGTGTTCCTTTTCATTTAATCTCTCTCTCTATGTACACACATACCTTCCCTGTATTTCTAGAACTTGAGGATAACAGAAATAAGACTATGATGCCCCGTGTCTCCTTGACAAACCTATTTATTTTAAATGAATGCCATTTTTGAAAGATTTTATTTTAAACATGTGAATAGTAAGGGAATAAAAGTGAATAAACTGTGAGTAATAGTGCTTTTCAGGACTGAAGGAAAAAAGTGGAGATTGGTCATTGAGTCAAGATTCACTTTCTATATTAAAATCTAGATTTTTATATTACTATGCAATAAGAAAAATAGTAAGTCCATCGCTGATTTTCAGACATCACATTAGTCACTTTTTTTTTTTTTTATAATTATTTGTTTATTTGACAGACAGAGACTACAAGTAGGTAGAGAGGCAGGCAGAGAGAGGGGGGAAGCAGGCTCCCCGCCGAGCAGAGAGCCTGATGCGGGGCTCAATCCCAGGACCCTGGGATCATGACCTGAGCCGGGAGGCAGAGGCTTAACCAACTGAGCCACCCAGGCACCCCCACATTAGTCACTTCTTAAAATAATTTCTCTTCCTTTCTTCCTAAAGCTAAGTACCAGTCTCAGCATGTACATCGGAAAAATAGAAGAGTCTCTTCTCGAGCACCGTCGGTACTTCTATCATAGATTGTATTGTTTGCAGATAGTTCTTAGATTGAGTTCTGTCCTTCATGCATATTTTTCTGAAAGAAACTTTCTTTTCTCATCCTAAAAAAAACTTGAGTGGCCCTTTCACCATGTGTTCTCAGCATTCTTAAGGTAAATTATTTTTGACTTGTGTCTCTATGTGATACCCCTAAAATAACAAGTCTCCTAAGTTCTAAGTGACGTGGTTTTGGGTTTTTCTTAAATATATTTTTTAAAGATTTTTATTTACATATTTATTTTAGAGAGAGGCTGCACACACATACAAGTGCGTGAGTTGCGGGAGGGCAGATGGAGAGGGAATCTTAGGCTAACTCCATGTTGAGCAGGGAGCCTGATACAGGGCTTGATCCCATAACCCTGAGATCATGATCTGAGCCAAAACCAAGAGTGGAACACTAACCAGCTGAGGCCCCAGGTGCCCTGCAAGTGATGCGGATTTTAACTTAAATATCTAAATAATGTTCCCTCCTGCTTTGCCATTCTTAAACCACTTAAACCACTAGGATATTTTCTCTTTGATTCTCATGAAAACCCAACATTTAAATTTTAACTCTACAAATTGAGAAATAGGTAGTTTTTCTCATCAAATTGATGAAATTGTCCATCAGACTTTATCAAATGCATAGTAGATGGCAGGCCTCCCATTAAATGCTGGAAATGAGATGATGAATAAAATAGTTCCTGACCTCCTAAATTTCAGAGTATAGAAGAAAACCGAGAATTATAGTCACCATTTCATTTCTAAAATAAGACTTACACAGTGGGTGATGAAAAGCGATGGGATGTTGGAGGAAGGACCTACAGTATTCGGCTAGATAGAATGGAGAAAAGTATTTTGTAATCTGAGGGAATTCTGCATGCACTTGCAGAGTGTTTTTTCTTACTGTATTTTTACTGATGTTCTGTATTCCTAGCAAGGCATTTCTGGGAGGTCCCATCAAACACCGTTGTTTAATGTTGATGAACTCATCTCCCCAATTTTCCTTAGTGGGGGAGAAAAAGTTCTCTATCCCTCAGAAAGTTCTTTCCTCTTTAAATTATACTTTTCACTAAACAGAAGTTGAGTTTCTTCTTCAACTCAATGTTTGGCTTTGCCTCCGAAGTTGTCCTGTGTAGTTTGTTCCCTTATGGTTTATTTCCTGGTTGTAGAAATTTGGTCTTGTGGCAAGTATTCATTACTATAGTAGGCTCTTCTGAGAACTCACCTTTGCGGTTTGTCTCATTTTCTGTGGACGGGGCATCTGATTAGTTTTACCTAATGATTTGGTGTCTGTGGCTGACCAGTGATGTAGTAGTTGCATGGCCTCTTTCGGCCTCTGTGGGGCAATAAAACACATGAATAAGCTCTCAATCTTCAGAAGAAAGACCCGAGGCAAAGAGGCACCTTCACCTGCAGTCTAATTCAGCTTTCCACCATGAGCATTGTATCTTGCACAGTTCATTAAAGTGAGGAGGTAAAATAGTATTTCTCTGTGAGTTTGTGACATTTTAAATTCCATTCAATTATAATAGCTCTATAGTACTTGCATATAATTTATAAATGGGAAAACATATATTGGGTGTACATGCTCAAAATTGTCTTACTGATAGAGAGCATGACCAAAACAGTTTGGAAGTTAAGTGCTTTAAATCACAAGCATCTTGGTTGGGGCGCCTGGGTGGCTCACTTGGTTAAGTGACTGCCTTCGGCTCAGGTCATGATCCCAGGGTCCTGGGGTCGAGCCCCACATCAGGCTCCCTGTTCAACGGGAGAGTCTGCTTCTCCCTCTCCCTCTTGTGCTCCCCCTTGTTGTCCTCTCTCTCAAATAAATGAATAAATAGCATCTTATAAAAAATGAATCACAAGTATCTAAAAATGTTACAAAGACAAATTATATAAAAAGGACTTCTGTAAAATCCATGTTTGAGCCAGTAAGTGTTCTCGAAAAATCTGTGCAGAGCAGTCTTACACAAGAACAAGTTACTTCCTCGGCTGTGAAGTGTGTGCTCCTCATCTCTACAACACTGGGCTTTGATGGCAAGTGGCAGGAAGGTTCTTTCACTGCTCTGAGTGGAGAGTGGGAGCTGGAAATGGAAGCTAAAGACTAGACGCTAAGAGTAATTCTATAGGACTCCTGATTATAATTTTTATACCCAGTTCTTAGGAATGAGTAAATCCAGACTTCCTTTTCCCTTTGCAAAATGTAGTGTATTTAATGATGAAAATAAAGGAAACAAACATGATATTTTCTAAAACCAATCATGGGCATTTTTAGTCAATTTAGTCTCTTCCACTGAATCTAAGCCAGTTATTAACTTTTAAAAAAAACTTCAGGTTTTGGTTATGAAAACAGTGATGATTTCAATGAAAACAGTATCAAATTATTTTTCTCATTTTTGTAAGTTAAAATTGTATTTTAACTGCAAAAACAGCATTAGTGTGATTTTTCAGCATTTATAATGGATTGGGCAGGCATTGGGTACAATAATAAATTCTTTTTATCTGCTTCCCGTCTCATTTCTCACTCTGAAATCCCAAAAGAATATCCACTGGAACATTGGCAAATATGTAGACAGTTATTTTCCTGTTCCCCCTCCTATTCTTAACATTAAGTAGTCTAAATCAATTGTACCTTGAGGGTTTCATGAGACATCTGTGGAATTTAGAATTTAAGGTAATGAGTAGTTAATAGATAATGCTTTTTGTTAGAATCCTATAAGACGTCTACCTAATGTCTCTTGTTTTCCTCTTAATGGAGTACAAGGAAAATATTACTCTTGTGGTTTAGGATATTATGTTAGAGGAAATTCATGACATAGTGATAGAATAAATGTAGAATTTTGAGTAATGTGTGTATTGGTCCTGTGATACATCCAGATAGCTCATCTTCACATTTAATTGTTGATAGCATTATTACATTCTACTTAGGTGTTTTTATTTGCCTTTTTTTTTCTCCTAAGAAAGTAAATCCCCTTAAAAGACCAGTCATTTGAGGTTGCTGCTTAATCAAGATGTGTTTGAAGTTGGCAGAACACAGAGTGTTCTGAATTGCTGGAATTGCTGATTCATTTGCAAAATTACAGAATAACCCACTTCCTACCAGCACATTAGTGCTGGGAAAGATTTCCAAGTCCCAGTAGTGACTCACAGATAAGCTTGCAATGTATTGGGCCTGATGAGATGTATATCGTCATCATTGTCACTAAGGTATTTGCTAAGCAAACTCCTAAGACTCAGCACCATGCTATATGGAAATGAGCTTGGTTCCTGTCTTCTTGATAAATTTCAGATATGGATTTCTTTCATAGCAGGGCTTTTAGTATTTAAAATGATTGCTTTCTGTTAACTTATAAGACCTAAAGTTGCTTTAAAACATGACATTTACATAGTAACTTTGAAATCTTTGATTTGAAATTGCAGCTGACGTACTGAGTGAAGAAGCAATATTGAAATGGTACAAAGAGGCACACGTTGCCAAAGGCAAAAGTGTTTTTCTTGACCAGATGAAGAAATTCGTTGAGTGGCTACAGAACGCAGAGGAAGGTATGATTCCATTTAACAACTTTGGTGGCCATTTAGCAAATATTTTCTCACTCTAATTTAAGGTATCCACCTCTTCCACAGACTTCTTTTGCTTTCCTAAAACTCAAGTGTTTAGGGTGTTTTCCATATCAAACATCTTGCCTACAAACTTAGCCTTCCTTTCTGAAATCAAAGCAATGAAATGTTCTATGTGTTTTTTAAAAAAAAAAGAAAGAAGGAAAGCCAGCCTGTTAAATTATCCACTCTAATGGGGAACAAAGGAATAAATCATCAGCCGTTGTGAAAGGAAAAGATAATTTTTGGCTTAATTACATTTTATGGGATTATATAGATACTAGTTACTAGAATTTAAAATTGGAATACTAGGTGGAAGAATAATGGATGAGAGCACTAGGTGGAAGAATAATGGATGAGAGTGAATCCCACTGAGCATGAGAAGTTTATTTTAGGTCACCCAGAAGAGTAAAAGTAATTATAGTCTCTAATAGTATTTATGAGCAAGCTGCATTTTTAGAAAGGCAAAGTTCATTGAAATCAGCGAAAGGAGCCAAAGTTTCCTACTGTCCTCGCATATGACTATCTTCTCTAGTAAATGCATGCCTACGGCACAAAAATGTCTTTGGGGAGTTGGGGTGGGGTAGCATATTAGAAACTCTTTCATGACTTTATTTAAAGGAGCCTCTGGGGGCAACTGGCTGGCTCAGTCAGCAGACCACGCAGCTCAGGGTCATAAGTTGGAGTCCCACATTGGGCATAGAATTTACTTAATAAAATTTTTAAAAAAGGATGGAGGCCTGCATGGCTTAGTCTGTTAAGCCTCTTGACTCGTGGTTTTGGCTCAGGTCATGATCTCATGGGTTGTGAGACCAAACCCCTGCATCAGGCTCTGTGCTCATTGGGGAGTCTGCTTGATGATTCTCTCCCTCCCCCGCCACCCACTGGTACACACACACACACACTCTCTCTCTCTCAAAATAAATAAATCTTTTAAACAAAATTTTAAAGGAATCTCTGAATAACATCCCCGACTTTCTCTTCTCTCCCTAGAATCCGAATCGGAAGGTGAAGAAAATTAAATGGCACATGAAGCACAATACCTAGGCTACCACACAACACTTTTACTGGGAATGCTGAACCATTTGAGAAGAGAAACTTGGCTTCTGTTTTCACAAAGAAGAAGAAAAAAAAAAATAGGATAGGCTTCCCTTGTGCAGAGGGGGGGAAATGGTTTTCGTTTTTGTTTTGTTTTTAAATGGAGCCCTGAGGCATCAGCTATTATTCTTGGGACTCTACCTCTCACTCACTATATGCTAACTTAAAGCCATTCAACAAGGAGTCAAGTAGGTATCTGAAATTAAATACTCAACAGACTCCTACTCTTTTTTAGCTGTATTTTTCAGGTACTGTGTGGTGAACGCCCCACTGGTGTCTATAACAGGGCCACTTTGGTAGTTGTGTATCTGCTTGTGTATGTGATTTGACAAACCAGTTTTTTAAAATAAATGGCTTTTTAAAAATCTGGGCTTATATTCTCAGAGCTTTGATTTCTTCAGTGCACCTGACTTCTTAAGCAAATGACCTCTCATTGTTACGCTTTTTTTCTCCACCCAACATTGTGAATGGTTACATTTCTTGTCATCTATAGGAACAGCCCTGTTTCTTCTACCATCATGAGTAGCGCATTTCACTTGTCTTCATATTGAAATAGAAATCGAACCAAAATTCATGCACATTAGCACTAACACCATGAGTTGATAGTATTAATAATTATTAGGTATGTAAACGTATAGTTCCACACTTCTCATGTTTTCCTCAGCGCTCTTTCTTCCCTGTTGGGAGGAGAGCTAATTGATGTACATATGTAAATAGATCTTTGTTTATATTTCTAACTAGGTGAATTTAGTCTTTAAATTATCTTGTCCTCAGTAGTAGCAGTGAAGCATCTTCCTGTTCATGAAAGTTCATACTTTTATTACACAGCTCTTTCTTAACTTGAAAAACTTAAGGCCTGCACCTGTTGCTGTCAGGGCAATGGTTATCTCCAAGACAAACATTTTTTTTCCTAAGTAAGAGTTGATATAAGGAGGATGCATGGCAACAACATCAGCAAGTAAACTACATGAAGAACTTTATGTTGTCACATCATCATCCTGAATCAAAAGACAGCTTTCTGGTTACCTGTTTGTCCTCAAGAAGAAAAGGAGAGCTTTTCCCTATGACTTAACCACATACCTAAATCTGTAACATGATTCCTCCTGTATTTTAAATACTCAGTCTTTGATGAATTCCTTTCTTCCCATTAGAGCACTGTCAGGTTCTCTACCCCAGCATAGATCCTTTCGAAAAATCATCTGTATGTGAGAATGTCATTTTCATTAAATGGAAACAGTAAGCACAGAATAACTAAGCCAGGCATAAAGAGCTTTACAGCACCTTGGAGTGATTATAGAGTACCCCTGAATGGACATCTGTCCAATATTCTTTTTCTTGAAATTCTGCTGAGCAATGCCCCCTCTTCCAGACTAGATTTCCTTTCTGGTCTTGCTGTTCACAATTGCCCTTCTATTTTATAAAAGAAAATATTAATTTGTCTCCTGTTATGGAGATGGAAACCACCTGGTACTAAACAAAGGGACAATTCTAGAATGTGTTCTTCTAGAATAGTCCTGTGAGGGAAAAGCAGGAACCTGAAGGGAGAGGAGTCTGATACCTTCTAGGCCATCGGTTCATGACAGGCCTCTGTTATCTACCTACCCTTTCTCCGAGCTAAAAATTAGAATTATGAAGTGGTAGTCGCATCCTAGAGTTCATGCTAATGTGTTTAATTGAATGGAAAATGAAAAATTTTAGTTGGAACATAAATTTGGCCATCTAATTTGATAAGTGCTGACTGCCAATTATGAAAAGTGGCATATTTCAGAAGTGTATTAAGTATGTATTTGATATTTGACAAAAATAGACTTATTAAAGGTAAAATTTTGAATATTGCAATTTGTAATAAAAATTTTGTCAATTTTTATGTCTTACTTTATATACATCATGTTTAATTTTATACATCAATGAGTAAGAGAATTTCCCCTTCATTTTAGGAGATCATGAATTAAAAAGTGTGTTAGAGGATATTTAACTTTGTTCCCACTGTATCAAAAGTGACCACACTGAGACCTAGAAAGGCACGGAGTTGTCTGAGGCCTTAAAGTTAGTGACCAAGATGGAACTAAGGTCCCACCTTCTGAGTCCCACATCTATACTCCTTTTCTTCCCTATGTTCTGCTATCAAATTAATGAAAAATGTATCCACAGTTCAAGCAAGTGTTTTTTAAACTAGCAATTTTATTGAATAAACATCTGGAAACATCCAGAAAATCAATTTTTTAAACTATAAAATGTAGCAATAATAGGATACTAAATATTTAGCACTTTCAAGCACAGAATATTTTTCCCAAACAGAATTTGAGGTAGTGATTTTAAGGTAAGCAAGCATGGAGGGGGGATGCTCAAATAGCAAGGACTTCCTGCATCAATAGTTAAAATAGAGAAGGTGTGGTATACACACACACACACACACACACACATACTTGGCATTTGTGACAACATGGATGGACCTAGGGAGTATTAAGCTAAGTAAAATGAGTCAGACAAAGACAAATACCATATTATTTCACTAATACGTAGAATCTAAAAAACAAAACAAAACAACAAACAAAAAGAAGAAACGGACCCATAAATACAAAGAACAAATATAGTTGCAAGTGGGTGGGGGATGGGTGAAGGGGAGTGGGAGATACAGGCTTCCTGTTAAGGAATGAGTTAGTCGTGGTAATAAAAGGTACAACATTGGGAATACAGTCAATGGTATTGTCATAGCATATGGTGATGTGGTAGCTATGCTTGCTGTGAGCATAGCATAATAATGTATTGAATTGAATCACTGTGTTTGTACACCTGAAAGTAATGTAACATTGTGTGTCAATTATACTCAAATAAAAGAAAGTATCTTAAGTATTTTTAAAACTGACCAAAAAAAGTGTCTGGATAGATCACAACTCTTCATTTAATGTTAAAACAATGAAAGCACTAAAAGAAAATGTAGGAAATACCTTTATAACAGACATGGAAAAAGCATTAACACAAAGTCCCCCCAAAAATCTGATTATAAAATGTCAACACTTTTTCCATATTGAAACATTCATACATGAGTAAATAAACACCAAATGTATGTGGGATCAGTTTCAACAGATTAGATGAAAATACTTTTTATAAAAATTACAATATAAAGAACATTTATAAATCAAAATTAAGAAAATGCAAAATGAGTATGAAAAGCCAATTAAAATGGACAACATAGAAAGATGGCCAATCCTACTGTTAATCAGAGATGTGCAAAATAATAAGATAAAATATTTTACTGTGTTTGAAAAAATTCCTAAAACCAATAATCCACAGTACTGTGTGTGAGAAAAATGGGTTCTTTCCTTTTGCACACAGCCTTTTGAGTTAAAATTTGGCAATAAATATTAACACTTAAAAAAACGCATATTCTTTGACTCAGCCTTTCCATTCTAGAATCCATCCCATAGGTGTACCCATAGACATATGTGCAGTGATTATTCTATTGATGAAACTGTGAGGAACTGAGACATTCTTAAAATGTCTGTGTCTAAATGTCTGAGAGATGGCGCATGGGTGAGTCAGTTGGTTAAGAGTCTGCATCTTGGTTGCAGCTCTGGTCTTGATCTCATGGGTTGTGGGATCAAACCCACTCCGAGATAGGCAGGAAGCTATTTGCATATTATCTCCCTCTCCCCCTTTCCCCTGTTCTCTCTTGCTCTCTTTCAAATAAATAAATAAATAAATCTTAAAAAAATGATAATAAAATGTCTGAGAAAGGAACTAGTGGAATAAGTTGTGATAAATCCATTATCAGGGAATGAGGTAGATCCAAAAACTTGTTCATAATATATCATCAAAGGAAAATACAAGTTAAAAAGAATATTTTCCCCATTAAGGAAAGCTGTGTTTATACAATGTACCTTTACAAATACATAGAAAGGGAATGGTATTTTCTAATATTTGTTATTTTTGCATTAGTCTTGGGCAGTGCTGGAAGAAGGAGAACTTTTTTCTTCTTATTCTGTATACTTGAATTTCTTTAGAAAGAACATGCAATACCTCGTTAATTTAAAAAAAACTAAAGCATGTTTATTTTGGAAAAAAAATTTGGAAGAAACTATTACACAGTTTTCTGCCACAGAGATGAGCACTTCCAATATTTTTACATTTTTACAAATATGGTTTTGCTTAATTCTTTAAATAATAAGTCCATTCTACATCAATTTTATGTCCTACTCTTTATTAAATATTATTCTGTAACATTTTACCACATTAATAACTCTTCAAAAACATGATTTTACAATACATATAATTGTTCATGCTATGTATGGGACATATTTATGATTCTATGGTTCAATATAAGACATTTTATAACTTTTTGCTTTTAAAAATAACCGTTCAAGGGGCACCTGGGTGGGCTCAGTTAGTTAGGAGGCTACCTTCGGCTCAGGTCATGATCTCAGGGTCCTGGGATCCGACTCTGCATCTGGCTCCCTGCTCAGCGGGAAGCCTACTTCTCCCTCTCCATGCGACTTCCCCCTCTTGTGTTCTTTCTCTCTCTGTCTCAAATAAATAAAATCTTTGAAAAATAAATAAATTAAATAAATAAATAAAAATAACCATTCAAAATATTTTCACATAAATCTTTATCTATACTTATTTAGAAAAATAGAAATGAAATTTGGGTCAAAGAATTTGAATATTTTTAATGCAATGTGGTCTTATTTTCTGAATTTGCATTTATACATTTGAATGCATTTTACTCCATTTGGGACAGAGTTCAAGGTCGTATCATTTTAATCAGAAATTTTAAAACTGTTAGCCTCTCAAGATATGAAATTCAGCAGATCCAATGTATAAAATTGTAAGAGTAGGGGAAAGTAAAATACTTCATTTTCAAGCCAAGAAAACCAGCAGCCTGGAAACACCTCAGGTCTTGCCTGGCTCTAGAATCGTCTGATTTGAGCAAATGTGGTGTCCTAGGCTCATCTGATTCAACATCTCTGACCTCACCTTCTCTGAGCTAATAGCAGTTACTTCTGTCCAACGCGTACATTTGAAAGATAATAGGCGTCAAG